TGTAGTTCAGTGGCAGAGCAAGTGCCTAGCATGAAAGAAGCCCTGGGTTCAATCCCCAGACCCACAAAAGAAAAAAAGGACACAGTAGTATTTCATAACGTGAAAGATTTTTGTCCTATCTTTTTATGGAGAAAAAAAAAGTCAATAATACTATGGGCTGGGGTTGTGGCTCAGTGGTAGAGTATTTGCCTAGCATGTGTGAGGCACTGGGTTCGATTCTCAGCACCGCATATAAATAAATATAGGTCTATTGACAACTAAAAAAATATTTTAAATAACAATAATAATAATAAAGTATTATAATACTACTTCATGGAGTATTAAAAAAAACTGACAAAATCAACTATCCTATTATAAACATTATGGGTTAACTCTAGTTTGCTTTCTTTTTTTTTTTTTTTCCCAATGCTCACCTGTAGGAAACCAAAGGTTCACGAAATTCCACACGATTATTTTTCTTCACATTACTCTCCAGGGTGGTAGCTCTGAGAGGACTACGAGATTTCTCTTTTCGTGATTTAGCAGACTTGGAAGTTGGAACATTGGCCCAAGAATCATCCAGGTATCTACCGTCTGAAGGAAAAGGAAATCTGTGAGAACATACGACATAAAATAGGACTGCCTATGACTTGGACTACTATATATAAAAAAAAAAATAACTTAGGTATGTGTTATTTCTAACATCTTAGGCTGGGGATATAGCTCAGATGGTAGAGTGCTTGCCTCACCCTGGGTTCAATCCCCAGCACCACCAAAAAAAAAAAAAGGATCTAACATCTCTGATTGGATATTACATAAGGATGTGGAAAACACTTGGGTTAAAATAGTACAGTAACTCAATTTATAAAGACTATTCTGAGCAGACGATGCAAAATAAAAATCTACAGAACTCCTTTCTACAAATGGCTCTCACTCACTTAAAAAGTATTAGATAAAACCCAATAAACTCACAGGTTTAAAAAAAAGAAAAAAAAGCAGGTTAAGTAGAGAGTACCAACTTGCCCACCAATTAAGAAACCACAGAATCAAGTGTGTGAAAGGTAACCAAAGAAAACATTTCCATTGTGTCAATTTGTGATAGTATAAAAGATATTTCAGGGCTGGAGTTGTGGCTCAGTGGTAGAGCATTTGCCTAGCATGTGTGAGGCCCTGGGTTCGATTCTCAGCACCACATATAAATAAATGAATAAAATAAAGGTCCATCAACACCTAAAAAAAAATTTAAAAAAAAAAAAAAGATATTTCACTTATAATTTTAAAGCCCAATAAAAAATACATCTTATTAAGTCAAATTTCACTTTCAAAGTAATGTACATGAAAAATTTTTTAAAAAGATATATGTTAATAACCTCAAAAACTCAGAATGGTATGATTGTGGCTATAAACTAAAAACTCACTATCAAAGGTGATACAATGATGCTAACGTCCCTTATCAATAGATGATGAAAACATCTCCCTTCACTGAAAAATGAGGCTGCTTCAAAACTACTGAGTACCAAAGAAAAACATTAAATGCTAATGAGTTATAGTCTCTGACAAAAAAGAAAAAGAAAAAAACAAGCAAATACATAGAACTATCCAGAAAATATTAAACTGAAACAAAACATAAAAATTTACATTTTATATATTTATGTCTTTGGAAATAACTCATACATACCTTTTCTACTAATTTTTCGGATAGCACTTGCAGAAGATTTCTTGGCATCCATGACAGAATCAAACACAGCTGTACTTGAAGGGGCTACTTCTAATTTGTTTTCAATATGTCTCAGCTAAAGTTTAAACACAATCACAACATATTAAATTAATTTTATAAATAATATAGCTACTCTCAATTTACAGGGTTATTTAAAACTTTATTGCCTAATATCTTTCACCAAATTAGAAAAAACATAGGATGCTTTCGTTTAATATTAGCTTTTTTTATTACTTATTACTTCTATAATTACACTTCAGGTATAATACACCCCAAATCTGAACAAGAATATAAAAAATATTGTTAAAACCATCAAAGAGTTTTTTTTTTTAATATTTTTGTTGTAGATGAACATAATAGCTTTATTTATTTATTTTTATGTGATGCTGACGATAGAACCCAGTGCCTCACACATGCTAGGCAAGCACTCTGCCACCGAGCCACAACCCAGCCCTCAAAGAGTTTCTATTCATAATGTTGAACAATTTTTTAATTATTTTTTAAATTTTTTATTTATTTTTTGTGGCACTAAAGATTACCCTGAGCTACATCTCACACTTTGTTTTTAAACTATTTTTAATACCTCTATTTTATTTATTTTTATGTGGTGCCGAGGATCAAACCCAGCACCTTGCCCATGCTAAGCAAGCTCTCTACCGCTGAGCCAAAACCCCAGCCCCTTATTTTTTTAATTTGAGACAGAATCTTACTAAATTGCCCAGCCTGGCCTTGAACGTAAGATCCTTCTGCCTCAGCTTCCTGAACAGCTAGAATAATAGATATACACCACCATGCCCAGTGTAACTGCTTTTTTAAAGCAGTAAATAATCTGATATTATATGTGGCATATCCTTATGAAATGTATGTTGTATATTTTACATGCAAAAGTGAGGAAAGAATGTTTAAAAGGACTGCAATTTAGGACTATTAAAAGAGCTACTAAAACTAAAAAATGCTTAGGAGAAAACATAAGGAAAAAGCTTCAGGACATTGGATTTGGGAAATGATTTCTTGGATATGATACCAAAAGCACAGGCAACAACAAAAGAAAAACAAATGACCTGGTCTTCATCAAGATTAAAATCAGTCTGAGGCTGTGGCTCAGTGATAGAGCACTTGCCTAGCATGTATAAGGCACCAGGTTCAATTCTCAGCATTACATATGAATAAGCAAATAAAATAAACATCCATCAACAACTCAAAACAATATTTTTTTAAAAAGATTAAAATCAATAGTGAATCAACAAATAATAGGATAACAGAGCAAAAAATCCACAGAATGGGAGAAAATATATGCAAATCATATATCTCATAAGGGATTGATATCCAGAATACATAATAAAAAAGATGAACAGTCAAACTTTAAAATGAGCAAAACAAACTCAGAAAGTCAAGGGTTATATGTTGTCTCTCTTATATAGAAGCTAGAGAGGAAAAGGTGATGGTGGGGATCTCATGAAAATAAGGAGACTAGTGGAATAGAGAAAGGGGACCAAAGAAGAAAGGAGGGGAGAGAAGGGAGAGAAAGGAGAGTTACTAGGGAACAAAATTAACCAAACGATTATTATTATGTTGTACATATGTACAAATATGTAACAATGAACTCTACTATTATGTATAATCACCAAATGCAAATTAAAAATGATTTTGAGGGTCGGAAGCTTTAGCTCAGTGGCAGAGCACTTTCCTAGCATGTGTGAGGCACTGGATTCAATCCTTAGCACAGTAAAAAAATAAATAAAATAGAGGCATTCTATCCATCTACAACTACAAAATAATTTTTTTTAAAAATGATACTGAAATTGTTAAAAAAAAAAAAAAGAGCTACAACTTTTTACAGTTGTTTGTCTACAAAATAAGTTTCATAATAAAGACAAAGTTCACAGGATAGACTTCAGATTTTGAGTATACTTTGCAAGATAAGTCAACTTTTGGTATAAATGCCAATGTTCTCAGTGAGCATATTCTCCTGTCTGGTAGAGTATTTCATGCTTATAGGAGATTATATGAAAACAGAAAAAGTTATAATCATTGAAATTCTATCACACAGAAATAAATACTTTATATAATCTTTCCATTTATCCTCTTGCACATTTTTGTATGTACTAAAAAAATTGGAATAATCATTTACATAGTAATATTTCTAAGATTCGGAGCATAGTAATGCATGCCTATGATCCCATTCACTTGTAAAACTGAGACAGGAGGATCACAAGTTCGAGGCCAGCCTAGACAATGTAGGAAAACCCTTTCTACAAATAAAAAGGGCAGGGGATATTGTTCAGTGAGTGGTAAAGTGTTTTTGAGTTCAATTCACAGTAGCAAAAAAAAAAAAAAATTCTGTATTTCTTAACCCTAATATTTCTCTATTAGGGTTTTCTTATTTATGAGTCCCTTATACTTCCTTAAAAATTGTTTCAAAAATACCTAATACTTTTGAAAAAGAACTTTCAGCAGTATAGTTTTGAATTAGCTTAGCTCTAAATTAAACTGGTGGATTAAAAACTACTCCCATATTATAAATACATAAAGCTCATGTAAAAAGACAGAATTTTTGCCAAATCCAACCCTGCTTTGGGACCTTTTCCAGATTCATTTTCAAAATCTTGAATCTTTTCCAGATTTCATTTTCATTTCAAAAACAGTTCTTAAGATCATAGGACAGAAAACACCACAAAAATACTCAAACAGTAAAAAAAACAGGTGATTCAAATTTAGATGGTACACAAAACAGAAAAGGGCTATGAAAAGACTATTAAAAGGGGCTGGGGTTGTAGCTCAGTGGTAGAGCACTTGCCTAGCATGCGTGAGGCACTGGATTCGATCCTCAGCACCACATAAAGTAAAATAAAGATATTATGTCCACCTATAACTAAAAAAATATTTTTAAAAAAAGACTATTAGAGGGACTAGGATTGTGGCTCAGTGATAGAGTGCTTGCATAGCATGGGTGAGGAATTGTTCGATTATCAGCACCCCATATAAATAAGTAAAGGTCCATTGGCAACTAGAAGAAAAAAAATTAAAAAAAAAAAAAAAAAAGACTATTAGAAGACTATTTCCCCAGAAAGCAAGTGAAAGAGTAGTCTCTCTCTTTGAAGTCTGGAAGTAAGTATTGCTTGCATATTTAAATTCCTAAAACCCAGACAAGATTGAGAACACAAATGGGAACAGATTGTCCACAATCGTTTTTCTTTAACAGTATAGAGAAAACAGCCTATTTCTTTCTCTCCCTCTCCCGCCCCCTCTCTCTCTCTTACACACACACACACACACACACACACACGCACACACACACACACACAGTAATTCACAGTTCATTCATGGAAATGCTGGTTCCTTACACTTCCTCCCTGACAATGAGCCTTCTACATAGACATAGCCTTACCACCTTCTCAAATTCACTGTTTAAATCTTCATTTCAACATGTCAAATGAACAACTTGATAAACGGGGAGTAAATAGCATAAGTTTATTTTATATGCCAAGGGCTAGTGTTCCTGAAATTTAGTGTCTTATTTATTTTTCTACTATTTAATATGTTCATTTTGTAATATATATGATATAACTTCTTACCATAACTTTCCTTTCAAAAAAAAATGCTACAAAAAACATTTTAATCTATCCAATCACAACAAAAAATTAATTTCAAAACAAATTAAAAAGTGAAGCTAACACTACTTACAGCAGCCTTGGTCTGAGAAAGTGCATCCCACGGTGTGGTTATGTCTACTGGGAAAAAGTAATATTTACTCAATCAGAAGCTCTGAAGTGGTCTGAAACATTAATTTTAAAAAGCTCCAAAATAACACTCAAAAGTTTGAGAACCACTTTGTTAGGCAAAACTATTTCTCAGCAAGTACTTTTTTATACTGAACCAAAATACGCTTTTTCTCCTTAACTAGCATATTTGTAAATGTTAAGCTTTTCCAACATGTAATTAAATAGTTAAATAGACACTGATACCATTAGTCCTTAGGACAGCTGGACTGATATTCCACCTATAACAATGTATATAACTAGAGCAGACATCTCCAGAAATAAACAGTATCCTCAATTTACCCCAATGAGTTAAACAAATAGAAAATTTTGCATTGTTTTATATTTCATATTACAATGTAAAAAAAATTAGAAAACTACTCCAACTTCAAGCTACCAATAGAAGTAAAATCTATTTAGTCTTTCAGATAAAAGCCCTTCAAACATTTTAAGGCCACGTATTTCCCACAAGTCATCCTTTCCCAGCATACACATTTTCACTTCCTCTAAATACTTCCCATTTAACTTGATTTCCAAGTCCCTCATAATCCCAATAATCTTCCTCCAGATGTATTCCAGTTGATTTCCCTTAAATATCATGCCTTAAAGTTACCTCTAATGCATTATTTAAAAGGAGTTCAATTTGGAGAGTATTTCTTTTGTTATTATCAGCGCACTGTACTAGGAACTGCATTATATCATTTATTGACATTAAGTCAGAATTTTAAAAAAATTGTATAAAACTAATTTTACATATACAGTTTCATTTCAAAAAAAGAAAGATTTTTTTCTTTACAAAACAGTTCATCACAGAATTCCATTTAAGGTGAGACACCTTTATATTCAAATCAAAAGTAAATTTTAAAATTATCCACTTTTTATAAACCAAGCGTGTATATAATTTTCATTTCTTGATTAGATCAGGATTTAATACATATATATATAGATGACCTAAACAAGGGATGGAGTTCAGTTTGAAAAAAAAAAAAAAATACCTTGAACAGTATCCTTGCTTTGAGAGTTCCTTGGATTTAGTAAAGGCACCTCTTTTGATTTGCTGCTCCTCATCCTGCCAATTTACCTGCAATCACATCGACATTATTTACTGAACATCAATATTATAGTAACATTAATAAAGGAAGTGACCTAACTTATCCTGCCCTTCATATGAAAGTCAGAAAAGGAGTCTATCATCTCTAAAATGTATCTTTATATCCTCCTTAAGAATGTCTCAAAATAAAAAAGTTTATCATAATTCAATAACTTTATTTTTCTTTAGAAAAATAAATAATTAAAAATTATATTGTGGGGGAACTGGGATTGTGGCTCAGCAGTAGAGCGCTCACCTAGCACGGGCAGGACCCAGGTTCAATCCTCAGCACCACATAAAAATAAAGGCATTGTGTTGTGTCCATCTACACCTAAAAAATAAATGTTAAAAAAAAAATTATACTGTGGGGGGCGGGAATGTAGCTCAGTGGTAGAGCACTTGCCAGGCATGTGTGAGGCACTGGGTTCAATCCTCAGCACCACATAAAAACAAATAAATAAAATAAGGGCCCATCAATAACTACAACTAAAAAATGTTTTTAAAAAAATTATACTGTGGGGGGGGTGGCTGGGGATGTGGCTCAGTGGTGGACGCTCACCTAGCACATGCGGGTCCCTGGGTTCAATCCTCAGCACCACATAAAAATAAATGAATAAAATAAAGGTATTGTGTCCAACTACAACTAAAAATAAATAAATAAATATTTTAAAAATAATTATACTGTGAAGGCTGGGGATTTACTCAGTGGCAGAACACTTGCCTAACACATGCAAGGCCCTAGGTTGAAGCTACAGTCTCCCCAAAATAATTATTTAATTAATTATAATGTGACCACTTCACACCTATTAGAATGGATAACTATTAAAAAAAAAAAAAAAAAGAAAGAAAAAAATATATAAGCCAGGAGTGGTGGTAATGCACCTCTGTAATCTCAACTATTCAGGAGGCTAAGGCAGAATTGCATACTCGAAGCCAACCTGTGCAATTAAGCTAGACCCTAGATCAAAATAAAAACTAAAAAGGACTAGGAATATGGATCACTGGTACAGCACACCTGGGTTCAGTACCTCGTAAGGAAAAAAAAAAAAAAGTTGTCAAAGACAAGGAAAAATTGGAGCCCTTGTATACTGTTAGCAGGAATATATATATGGAAAATGGTATGGCTGTTTCTTAAAATTAAAAAAAATAGAATTACCATGGGTTGGGATTGTAGCTCAGCAATTGAGCGCTCACCCTGGGTTTGATCCTCAGCACAACATAAAAATAAATAAATAAAATAAAGGTATTGTGTCCAACTACAACTAAAAAATAAATATTAAAAAAAATAAATAAAACAGAATTGCCAAGCTGGATTTATAGCTCAGTGACAGAGCACTTGCCTAGCATGTGTGAGGCACTGGGTTTGATCCTTAGCACCACATAAAAATAAACAAATAAAATAAAGGTGTTTAAAGAAAATAAAACTGCCATAAAACCCAGCAATTCCACATATACCCAAAAGAATTCAAAGTACAGTCTTGAAGAGTATTTGTAAATGTTCACAGCAGCATTATTCATAAAATAGCCAACATGGGAAGAGTCCAAGTGTCCATTCAAAAGGTAAGCAGATAAGCAAAGTGTTGTATATACATAATGGAATATTATTCAGCCATAATAGGAAGGAAATTATAACCTATGCTACAACATGGATAAACATTGAGGCCATTATGTTAAGTCCAATAAGGTAGTCACAAAAATGTGAACACTATGATTCTATTTATATAAGGTACAGAGAGAAAATACAATGGTGGTTACCACCAGGGGCTGGAGCAAGAGAGGAGTAAGGAGCTACTGCTTAATGAATAGATAATTTCAGTTTTGCAAAATTAAGAGTTCTAGAGATAGATGGCAGTGATGGCTGTACAATGATATGAATTTACTTAATTTTAATGAACTTACTTAAAAATTATTAAAAAGGGCTAAGAGTGGAGCTCAGTGGTAGAGCAGTTGCCTATCATGCATGAGGCCCTGGATCTGAGCCCCCCGCACACACACACACTAAAAAGTTAAGAAGCCTGATGCAGACTCACACCTGTAATCCCAGCTCCTGGTTAGGACAAGGCACGGCCATCACCTGAGCCTAGGAGTTTAAGGACAGCCTGGACAACATAATGAGACACCCTCCCCAAATAAAAAAAAAAAAATTGATACATTTTATTATTATGTCTGTACTGCTACATTAAAAAGATATAAGAGAAAAAACATGATATGCTTATTCTTAGACAGCTTGATGATAAAAGACATTTTCCTATGAATACAGAGGAATTATTCTATTACAAAAGTCACAAGGCTAGGGCCATAGCTTAGTAGAGCACGTGCTTACCATACACAAGGCATTTGGTTCAATCCCCTGTACCAAAACAAAGTCACATAATATCAACACAGAAAGTTTGCAAACACAGGGAGAAAAGCTCACCGCTATTTCCAAAATCCTAACACAATTATTAAGATATTTTGCACATTCTCTTCTAATTTTCTTTGTCTTACTGTAATTACTGTAAATTCAGATCTGTGCCCATTTTACTTAACTGCTGGACATTTTTGGCGGTTTTAAAATACATTAAAAATTATTTGATATTCCTTTCTTCAAGAATTGGAACTTAAACTAGGCATGGTGGTACATGTCTGTAATCCCAGCTACTTAGGAGGCTGAGGCAAGAGGACAAGAAGCTCAAGGCAGCATGGGCAACAGTGAAATCCTGTCTCAAAATAAAAGGCCTATAGATGAGGCTTAGCGGTAGAATGTTTGACTAGCATACCTGAGGCCCTGGGTTCTATCACTGGTACTGGGAGTTGTGGGGCAGGGGGTTCAGCTTAATATTTCTCCCACTGAGAAATATTAAGTTAGACTTTCAACTAACATCAAATGTGGTGGAAATGACAATATAAGACTTCCACTGAGAGAGGAATTTAGGGATCCAGAGAGAACAGTGTGTGAGGCTCAAGAGAAATACCAGTAACCACTAGAATGCAGAACAACTATGAGAACCTCAACCGTTGTCCTTGCACCAGAGTCCTTACCTGGGTGTCCTTGCCCATAGCTTGCCAACTGACTGATGGAAAACAAAAAAAATAAATAAACCTGCAAGACAACCACAAGGCATCTGAAGAACTACTCCTTTTGGGATCATGCATATTAGAGACTTTTGTGACCAATAAATGACTCTAGCTTCCTAATAGTAAGACACACCCCTTGGGTAGAGATTTAAGATGCGAATAAGACAATAAGAAATGTAGGAAGTAGCAGAATTAGAACATGAATAGACAATAGAAAAGCACACAAAGAAAACTGACACTAAATGCATATAACCCCATCCTGACTCTACCTCTAGTTCAGCCCCCTAGCTACTGTCCCTCTGAGGGGCTGAAACCCCAAACTCAGTCTAAGATCGCGCATACCCCAATTATCAAACATGTACTTTCCCCTATGACAAATCTGGTGTTCAGCTACTCGTACCTGAGGCTCTATAAATCCTTTTCTGCAACATGGTCAAGGACCTGGAAAGTCCAAGTAGAGGTCTGTTCCAGTTCTGGAGACCTCAAACCCCCCACAGGGTGATATCTTCTTCCCATGTAGTAGTCTCCTCTGCTTCTGAAGACCTCCTCAGACCCCTACACAGACACTGCAACTAGGCTATAAAAGGCATTCTCCACACATCCCCACAACCCCAAGGATTCAGCTGTCAGATCATGAAAACAGTCAAGTTGCTCTACCAACAGATCCATGCAGCAAAGAACCAAAGCCTCCTGCCTACAGCTGTAAGTGAGCTTTCCTGTAAGCAGATACTCAAGTTAAATCCACATCAAGTCTTTATAGACTACAACCCTATCTGACATCCTGTTTGCAACCTTATGAAACCTTGAGCCAAAATCACCCATATAAGGATTTGCTCCCACATTCCTCACCTACTCAAAGTGTAAGATAATAAAAGTCTACTTTAAAATACTTCAAAAGGGTGAGGGTGGGAGGTTATTAGATAACCAATACAACATTATATCTTACTTTCTTTACTACAAGTAACATTGAAGTGAACATGTTTGTGCATTTGGATCATTTATCTAGAACAGGATCTGCAAAGTGTATAAAAACTGGACTAAAAAATTGTGAAGAACATGCTGCTCTGAAGACTTAACATCAAACTGTTTTTCGATGTACAAAAAAAGAAGGGACTACCAGCTTCATTAATACCTTTGAATATTGAGATTATCTATTCTTTTTACTTTTGCTATTTAATAGGAAGAAAGAAATTACTTTAATTTGAATTTAATAGATGCCAGCAGTATTAAATATTCTGGGACTGGGGACATACCTCAGTTGGTAGAGTGCTTGCCTTGCATGTACAAGGTCTTGGGTTAAATTCTCAGCACCACAATAAATAGATAGATAGATAGATAGATAGATAGATAAAACTCTGTTGCAGGCCTGAATCTTAACTCTTCTTTTGCAAATTATCCTTTCTCATCTTTTGCCTATCTACCTACCAATATCTTAGTGCTTTTCATAATAATTTAATGAGTTCTTTACAGTAGACATATTATTAAACATTGGCCATATTTAATAAAATTTTCTCCAATTATCTTCCTGCAGAGGAAGTACATTTATATTGGATATTAAAGACACCAATTTAAGTTAAAGAATAGGAAACTTAGCTAAGTCCAATATATAAAATGAAAGGTACGATTAATTTTAAAGGAGTTAATTTCAGCTATTAGTAAGTAATCTTGATTTACTTTTTCCCTAAAAAAAAAAAAAAAAAAAAAAAAAAAACTTTAAAAATAAAATTCTTCATAGATTATAGAATTTCCCCAAGAAAAGTCTAGGTTTCTGAAAAATAAAAATGATAGAAAAACTAAAATCACTAAATGCTCAAGTAGTTCAAAATTTTTCAACCATAAAGACTTTAATCAGAGCTAATAGAGATTTAAAAACTCATTTTTCTTTTCTCTGATAAAAATATATTTGATCTAGTAAACTGAAAAAAATGGTAACT